ACAGAGTTTATGCTGGAGGGGGGTTTATATTCAATTATAGTAGGTTTATATTTGTCACAATATTTTTGGCAAACAACGTTGTCTAAATAGGGAATGTGACTTGTCACTGAGTATAAAAATAGAGCGGAAAACATGAATAGCAAGCGGTGTGTAAGTTGGGTTTCAATTCAAAAATGAGGGCAAATATTTTACCATGACACAGCATTTGGTGCATTTTAGTACCTTTTTAGTACTTTTATATATTTTAATTTCGAATTCGAAAATGTAGTCAAATATCCTCCCTGCAAGAAAAAAATGACTCAAATTTCAAATTTGGAAATTCTAGTTTTAATCGTTTATTGGAAACCTATTTGGGCACAACATTTAGTACCTTAAAGTACTTTTGTTATCCTTTTAGTTCGCTTTTCCAAAATTCCAGTTTTATATCAAATTAGAACTACTCCATTCTAATTGGTGATGCTTTTTTTGGTTTTAAGTTCCCGTTGTAGTTACACAGTAATCCCAATTTCAATTGCTCGTTCGTTAAGGTGGGAGAAAACGTAGTTTCGTACTTTTTGTACTTTTTAGATTTCCAACAGTTCAGCTTTTTATAACCTTCACCTTACTATAGAGGGTATATGAACTTTGTCATTCCGTTTGTAACTGCTCGAAATACTCATGTCAGACCCAACGAAGTATATATATTCTTGATCAGCGTAAAATTCTAAGACTATTTTGCGATGACCGTCTGTCTGCTGTAATCAAGCTATCTTTCGAACGAAAGCTACAATTTTGCACACATGTCAGGCTAAGTTCGGAAAAGGTTCATGTTCGTCCGCGTTTTCTTACAGCCCCCATATAAAGGGACCTCCCTTTATTCAGTATTTTGATGATTTTAGCGACATTATTCACATAAATCTTTTAAAATTTCGTATCTGAAGATCTTAATGTGTACTACATGATATGGAAAAAAAAAATACTTATGCAGGTCCACGTTTTCGAAAAGCCCCCGTATAAAACTTACGTGCTTTTTTACTTGTTCTTACCCAGAAAAGCAATAGAGATCCCCATTCCCGAATTTCCCAAAAGCCCGTTATTTAAATACCATGAGCCAGAACTCAGTACCTTTTTGTACCCTCTAATATCAATTTTGGAAAATGGGGCCATATCTCTACCCTACACATCAACATAGGCTCACGTTCCGAATTTCAGAATTCTAACTTGACCAGTTCGTAAAAGATCACGGAACAAAATGAAGAACCTTTTCAGTACATTTCGTATCCTTGACATCTCATATTCAAAAGATCGTTCAGTTACATCCCCATTTCAAATTTTAGAATTCTTGCTTTGCTACCTACTACCATGAGAAGCGACTTTTTTACGTTTTGATACAATTTTTTGTTTTTTTTTTAAGGTTTTCCAAAAAAAAGTAGCACATTTATTCAACACACCGATACCGGCACCCATTACAAATTTCAGAATTCATTCATTCATTCATTCAGTCAAGATCATGCCGCACTATTTAGTATCCAGTTTCCAAAAATCTGGCATTATCTTTTTCAACATACCAACAATAAACCACAATTCAAATTTTGGAATTCCAGCTTTCCTCAACCTCTTCAGACCATGGAAGTACCTTTTAGTACTCTTTGTACCCTATATATTATTATTCCAGCCAACATTGATCCTCACATCAAAATTCTGAATTGCAGTTTTATCCATTCGTCAAATACCGTCATACCGCGTTAAGTACTTTAAAGTACCCGTTCAGTTGGAAATCTCATAGATGTGACCCAATCTTTCACCGGCACGCCAAAAGTGAACTAATTACAAATCAAAAAACTCATCCAAGGCCATGGCACAATATTTCGAACCCATTTTCCATGAATTCAGTAAAATTTTCTGCGAAATTCCGACATTAATCCACAATTCAAATTTCTAAATTCCAATTTTCCCCGAGACACTCCAGACCTTGACATATAGTTTAGTAACTTTTACTACTTTCCGTACCCTATATATTTTATTATTTCATCCAACATTAAACGCAATTTCAAAAATCAGAACTGCTGCTTTAACCTTTTCGCCAAATAGCGTCAGACCGCATTTAGTACTTTTTAGTGCTCCTAGTACCCATTCAGTTCGACTTTTCAAAAATGAGACCGAGCCTTTCAACTACACGCCAAAAGTGACTACTCCATTACAATTTTCAAAAATCTAGTATCCCGCATTCTTTATACATCGAAGGGCAAACATTTTAGTGCCTTTCGTAACTTTTTCATGACATTTCCGAAAAAATTAACCAAATCTCAGGAACTGTGATCGCCCCATTTCAAATTTAAGAATTCTATCTTTATCATTTCAGCCAATACCACGAGAACGCATTTAGTCATTTTATTTCGAAATTTCACTTCACACACAGCAAGAATTTCCATATAACATACAAATAAAAAATATGGCTTTTTTTAATTACTGCCTGCAAATAGGCTACAATTTACTAAAATGGGAACCAGAGTGCGTATTAGTATTGTCACTACTCATACGCAGAATAGAAATGCAGGGAATTTAATGTAGATTTTTTTTTTTAATAAATAATTTAGAAGGTGAAGGTGCGAGAATTTTGAAAATTATTTTTTAAGGACCTTCACCAAACGTGGGTTTTTTAAACATATTTTTTCAAGAACCTTTAAATATTGTGTTTTTTATTTAATATTTTTAAAGAACCTATACCAAACGTGGATATTCTTTCAAGACCCTATAAATATCGTCGTTTTAAAAAAAATATTTTTTAAAGGACCTACAAGAAACTAAATAATTTTTTCAAGAAACTGTGAATATCGTGATGTTTTTTAATATCGTTTTAAAGGACCTAAACCATCAACCGTGGATATTTTAAAAAATATTTTTTCAAGAACCTTATATCGTGTTTTCTTAAAAATATTTTTTAAGGACCTACATCAAACGTGAATTGTTTAAAAATATTTTTAAAGAACCTACAAATATCGTGGTTTTTAAAAATATTTTTAAAGGACCTACACTAAACGAGGATTTTTTAAAAAATATTTTTAAAAGACCTACACCAAACGCGGATTTTTAAAAAATATATTTTAAAAAGACCTACACCAAACGCGGATTTTTAAAATTATATGTTTAAAAGACCTACACCAAATGTGGATTTCTAAAAAAATATTTTTTAAAGGACCTACACCAATTGTGGATTTAAAAAAATGTACATTTTTTAAAGGACCTACACCAATTTTGGATTTAAAAAAATATATTTTTAAAAGACCTACACCAAACGTGGATTTTAAAAAAAAAAAAAAAATAATTTAAAAAAATATAAATTAAATAAATATAATATAATATAAATATAATATAAACCTAAAAAAACGTGGATTTCTAAAAAAAATATTTTTTAAAGGACCTACACCAATTGTGGATTTAAAAACATGTACATTTTTTAAAGGACCTACACCAATTTTGGATTTAAAAAAATATATTTTTAAAAGACCTACACCAAACGTGGATTTAAAAAAAAAATTAATTAAAAAAAATATAAATTAAATAAATATAATATAATATAAACCTAAAAAAACATTTTTTAAAGGACCTACACCAAACGTGGATTTTTTAGAAAAAATAATTTTTAAAGACTTCACCAGACGTTGATTTTTTTTTAAATATTTTTTAAAGACTTCACAAGTCGTTGATTTTTTTAAACGTGGATTTAAAAAAATATTTTTAAAAAACCTACACCAAAATTGGATTTAAAAAAATATTTTTTTAAATACATTTAAATTTTTTTTTTTTAAATACATTTAAAAAACTTTCACCAAACGTGAATTTTTTAAAAAATATATTAAAAATGACCTATGTGGTTAGGTCCTTTAAAACATATATTTTTGGATTTTTTTAAGTTATTTTGTTTTTTAAAGGACCTACACCAATTGTGGATTTAAAAAAATGTACATTTTTTAAAGGACCTACACCAATTTTGGATTTAAAAAAATATATTTTTAAAAGACCTACTCCAAACGTGGATTTTTTTAAAAAAAATTAATTTAAAAAAAATATAAATTAAATAAATATAATATTATATAAATATAATATAAACCTAAAAAAACATTTTTAAAGGACCTACACCAAACGTGGATTTTTTAGAAAAAATATTTTTTAAAGACTTCACCAGACGTTGATTTTTTTAAAATATTTTTTAAAGACTTCACAAGACGTTGATTTTTTTAAACGTGGATTTAAAAAAATATTTTTAAAAAACCTACACCAAACTTGGATTAAAAAAAAATATTTTTTTAAATACATTTAAAAAAATATTTTTTTTAAATACATTTAAGAAACTTACACCAAACGTGAATTTTTTAAAAAATATATTAAAAATGACCTACGTGGTTAGGTCCTTTAAAACATATATTTTTGGTTTTTTTTAAATCATTTTGTTCTTAAAGGACCTACACCAAAAATGATTTAAAACAAAAAAACATTTTTTAAAGAATTCATTAACTTTTCAGTTCGTGGCTCTCTCTAAAGTGACCAGCATTACGAATTTCCGAATTCTGCCTTTACCTGTTTGCTAACATCATTCCGTAGTTTAGTACTTTCCCTTTTAGACAACCAATGTTAATGTCAAAAAAAATATAACAGGTTAGAAAAAAAATATTTTTTTTTAAAATATAGTTTAACTGCAAAAAAAATTAATGAATATTTTTGTTTGGCAAAAAAACATATCACACAAAATTGCATAATTTTTTCAAAACCAAAAATAAAATAAAAAAATACATGTATTTAAACGTTCAAATTTATTGTTGACAGCTGCTTTGGCATTTATGCAACAATTACAATTTTAGAAATTCTGAAAGATATTTTCGAGTGCAAAAAAATATTTAAGATGTAAATGTAACAAGGCAGTGCGCGTTGTTTAAAAGAATTCAGTTTCATATTACAAAAAAATATATTTCAAAATTATTATTAAATTATCTAATTTTGATTTTTTTATCACTCCATTTCAGGCTTTCTTGGCAGTTTCCTATCCAAGGGCTTGAAAACCAATCAACTAGAAGTGAATACCGATGAGAAAACCTTGCGACCGATAGCTCGCCTCAAGGAGCCGCGTGATCTGTTCGCCCTGCCCAAAGACAAGGACAATGACTGTTCACAACAGGCCCCCCGATGGCCGATTGAATGTCAGGTATGTACTCTTATGAGTAAAAAAGTGATTTGAAACATTTAAGTAAAATAGTATAAATAAAATACAATGTAAAAACTGGTGACCGTTCCACCTTCATGCCATGCAATCGATTGCCAGATAAATAAATGTCCCCACAAAAATGTCGGTTTGCCGCCAAGTCCACACAGCAAAAAATATGAACATCATAATTCTCAAAATAAACGGCATCGAATGCAAGTGATTTACGTTGTTGTTTTGTTGCATTAAAGAAAAACATGCAGAAGAAGTATTCGAATCTCAATGGCAAAGGCCCAAAACAATGTTTTAGTTTATGCTCAAAACATGAGGTGTGGTATGATGATTTAAAGGAACTCGACATTATATTCAGAAAAATGAAAATTAAATAAATAACAATTCATATTCAATATGAGTTGGTTGAATAATGCTTAAAACTGATGATATCGGCCTATATACCTTTTTAAAACCATCCCGATAAATTTTACAAATTTTCAAATATCAAGTTTCCATTCCAAGTTTTTGTACAACTGAAAAGTCTTAAATGGTTCGTCAAACTCTGATCGCATGCTACAATTTTCTTCCAAGGTCTCCTGCCCAAAAGTCGTGGAATCCGTTGGCTTGACCGATTCTTAAAAATTAATTTTAAAGGGTGCTTGTACATAAATAATACATTTTCTGTTATTTGTCAACGAATTGCTGCCAAGAATCGTGAATTTCCTGAGAGATCCTTCTTATAAGAATGGTAGATAAAAAAATCAGACTTTCTGAGCAAAAAATTACACATTTTAAGGCTCCAGGACATAGTTGATTTTTTTTTTTTTTTTAATTTCAAGGACCTCATGAATTTTATACCCTACACCACATAGTGGTAAGGGTATTATGTCTTTGTGCATTTGTTTGTAACATGGAGAAGGAAGCGAAAAAGACCCATAGTTACTTTTGAGGATCTCCATAGAATCACTTTCTGAGTTGATTTATGCATGTCAGTCCGTCTGTCCGTCCGTCTGTCCATGTACTCTTGTGAACAAAATGCAGGTCGCATTTATTATCCGATTGAGATGAAATTTTCCAAACAACACTTGTTTGCCCCACGGACGAACCCTATTGAAATTGGAGATAATCGGTAAAAAAATAAAAAATAGCTCCCATATATATCTTCGTCCGATTTTCCTTTTATTGTGCACCAAATGTGTAATATCAGCCCGAATAGTATGGAATTCTGCACATACAACCAAATTAGGCCTGAAAATAAGTATGCCAAATTTGATCGAAATCGGTTCAGATATAGCTATAGCTCCCATCCGAGCTATTGCTCATCCGATTTGTTATTTTTGTCCTCCGCAGCCGTAATATGCATTCTGTAACAACAATATTTGGGGAAATATATCAAATGCAGCTCAGAAATACCTTTGCTAAATTTTATCGAGATCGGTTCAGATTTGGATATAGCTCCCATTTATAACTTCCGATTTAGCTTTTATTATACACCAAACGTCTAATATTTGCCCAAAAGGGATGTAATTTGGCACATGCGACCGAATTGAGTCTAGAAGCTAGTATGCCAAAATTTGGTGAAGATCGGTTCAGCTATATAGCTATAGCTCCCATATATATTGTTCATCCGATTTGTTGTATTTGTTACCCACAGCCATAATATGCACTCTGTAACAACGATATTCAGGGAAATATATCAAATACAGCTCAGAAATATCTTTGCCAAATTTTATCTAGATCGGTTAAGATTTGGATATAGCTCCCATATATATTGTTCATCCGATTTCAAATTAATTTTGCACCAAATGGGCAATACAAGTCCGACTTTAAAAAATACAAATGCTTCGGCATTTTTAGTCCTTTGAACTTTAAATTATAATTATAATCATATCGTATATGATTGAATTCTCCCATAAAAACTTTTAATTGTTATGTGGAGCTCTACTAAATTAGCAAAGTGGTGTAGGGTATCATAAAGTCGGCCCCGCCCGACTTTCGAACTTTCTTCATTGGTTTTACATGTTTTCTACCGAAAATCCTTCACTTTTGCTGACCAAAATCGTGGACTTTTTCAAGGTCTTCCTGGGAGGGCCAAAAATTAAAGAATTTTTTTTTTAAGGATCTCTTGATTAGAAATTGTTGTATTAAGACCTCCTACCTACAAATCTTAATTTTTTCCTCGGACTCTTGATCAAATATCGTGCATTCTTGTCGAATTTTTTTTTTTTTTTTGTTTTTCTTACAAAGTCTTAGCCAAAACAAAATGTCTCCTTTTTTGCAAAAGACCGGAAGTCGTAGATTTTTTAAGGACTGATTTTTCAAGGACATCCTGATAAAAATATTGTATCTTTTAAAGAACAACTTCCCGGACCTCCTAGACAGAAATCGAGAAATCACGGATTTTTTAAGGAAAAAATCCAAACCTGAATTCATGGACTTCATTGCTAAGACTCGTGGGTTTCTAAGAACAATTTTAAGCAACTCCTGACCAAAAGGCTGCAAAAATCGTAGATTTAAAAAAATCCAAGGAAAATTCCAATAACAGTGCGTTGGACCGGATACCAATCCGTTGGACTATTGTGCCTGGAGTATTTTGGAAAGCAAGATTGGCCCTAAAAAATACCAAAGTATCGATCACCTCAAGCAAGCGTTTCGCCGGGAATGGGCCAAAATACCGCAGAGCAAAATTCGGGCAGCGTGTGACGGTTTCATTGGCCATTTGAAGGCCATATTTCGTGCCCAAGGTGACAAATTCGAACAAATCTAAATTTATTCTAAAGGTTGATACTATTTCCGACATTTTTGCATTCAAAAAAATTAAAAAAAAGAATGTTAAAATTATGGCGTTTGACTTTGTTGCAGTTTTTTACTCACCCTACACAGGTCGCAATTATTGTCCGATCCTCACTAAATTTTGCATGGTGTAGCGTTATTATCAGAAGTTAAGCCTACTGTTAGAGACCAAAAAAAAAAAGCATTTTTCTGTTTTTGTAGTCGGTCTACATGAAACATTCCCAAGCGCTTCCCAGTTAAGAGTCGTGTAATTGCCGGTCATTCTGTCCAAAAAACTTCTTTTTTGCAAGAAATCCCTTGCAAAAATGTATTTTTCTAGGTCCAATGATGAATGATTGAAAATTTCGTGGCAATACGCCAATGCCTTTTAGTGACAATTTTTTTAAAGGACAATGACGTTTGTAAGTCCAGGAACTTTATTAAAAGTTACGACCATTTTAGATTTTGGTTATCTTAAAGTGGCATTTTTTGTTGTCAATTTTCGAATTCAATATCAGTTTAGGCATAGATCAGAAATATGACAAGGTTCTAGTTTTTTTGGTTTTCATTTTTTTATCAAGTTTGAATACTCCCTCCTATCGAAAGAAACATAATGGGAGAGTATAAACAAGTTAAAAAGGAGAAAATAAACAAGTTAAAAAGCAGTACGTTTGGCCGGGCCGAACTTTTAATATCCTCCACCATTTGCAACGAATTTGGAAATTTTCAAAAAATAAAATCCTTAAAAAATTCTGTTAACATTTTAAAAATACCGAATATAGCCGTTATATTGGGATCTATACGACGTGGACATACATAGGCATTGTTTGTCATAAGCCATTACCATATTCAAATTCGAAACTTGCAATAAACGGTGAATAATGTAGCTAAAATCATCAAAATATCGTATATAAGGAGGTGTCGTTAAATTGGAGCTGTGCGAAGACCTGGACCAGCATAGACAATTTTCTGTCACAGGCTGTAGCATCCATTACGAAATTCAAATACCACATCTCAAACAATTTCGATGGATATTGTATCTAAAATCATCAAAATACCGAATATAGAGAGGTACTGATATATGGGGCCTATACGAAGACCTGGACCCGCACAGAAAATTTTCTGTCACAGACTGTAGTTCCCATAACAAACTTCAAATACCAATTTTGAAACAATTCCGGCGAATAATGACGCTAAATTCATCAAAATACCGAATATTGGGAGGTACCGTTATATGGGGGCTATACGAAGACATGGACTTGCACAGACAATTTTCTATCTTAGGGTGTAGTATCCATTTGGAACTTCAAATACCAAATTTGAAACAATTCCGGTGAATAATGTCGCTGAAATCATCAAAATACCGAATACAGGGAGGTACCGTTATATGGGGGCTATATGAAAACGTGGACCTACATGGCCCATTTACGAACTTAACCTGCCTACTGGAAAAATAAACATGTGTGCAAAATTTTAGCCATCTATCTCAATTCATTCGAAAGATAGCGTGATTACAATAGACAGACAGACAGACGGACATCGCTAAATCGACTTAAAATTTTACGCTGATCAAGAATATATATACTTTGTTGGGTCTGATATGAGTATTTGGAGGAGTTACAAACGGAATGACAAAGTTAATATACCCTCCATAGTATGGTGGAGGGTATAAAAAATACCTATTTTAAGTACGCCTGTTTCCGATTCGGACAAAAATTCCTTCTAAAAAACTATCTGCGTTTAAGCCAATTTCTTAGACTGGCCGTACACGCAAAAGAAAACAACAATGGTGGCAAATTTTCACCATTGGTCCATAATTTCTCAAGAGATATGCAACGGGCAGGCAGGCTGGCAGATGGTCTGAATACCAAATTCATATCGATAGGTAATGAATGAATGAATGACCCCCAGGCAGGCAATGTGTGCGACTGATATATGGGTATGTATGTGTGTACAATAATTGTGAGCGAGTATTTGTTCGGTTTGGTTCCCTGTGTATTTGTGTGCTGTGCGATAAACAACAAGAACAACGAATTAAATTTTCCTTGTAAAATTTCCTTTCTGAAATGGAAAAGTTTTGTTTGTTTTTTTTTTTTTTTTCAAATAATGCCCCTGAGACGCGCTCTGGTTCAATCCAATGATATTCCATGGTCCATTTTAACACATCCAATCCGAGAACAAGCAGCAGAAGGCAACATTGTTCTTTTTTCCGAACTAAAAACCACACAGGCCCGGTT